TCCAAAACCATTGGCAGGTACCCCGGAACTTTACTTTTTTAGGTAGTAAATAAGTATATGTGTCAACGTGACAAGATCATGACTCCCTGGCTTGGCAGTTATGCAATAATATAATTTGGCAGTTATATATACACCCCATGATGTGATTGGATGTGAGAAGCCAATTTGGTTTAAGAGGAATTAAGAATGGGATGCTGCACTTTTAATCTCACACCAGCCCTGATCCAATGGAAAGGGGGTTTCCCTGGTGTGGGGTGTAGGAAGAACACCTTTTATCTTACAAGCATGAAAAGGAGAGAGAAGCAATTAGAGACCAGAGAACCTACTATCACCAAGGAAGAAAAGGCTTGGGGGTGGAGGACATCCTTTGGATCTTGGGTCCCTGCATTGGGAACTCCTGGATCGAGGGACATTTGATGCCCAAACACATGGAGATCTCCAAGCAATGCCAGAGCAACAGGTGCTAAAAGGACACAAGGAAATGGGGAGTTAATAACAAGTACAAGAAGTAGGAAAACCTTCTGGAATTGATTGTACAACTCTTTGTAACAAGACTGAACTACGGAGCTGACAACGAGAGAAAGTCTTCCCCTGGGGCCCATCGTGAAATTGGACTTTGAGTCATAAACTCTGAGAGAATAAATTTCTCTTTGTGAAAGCCATGTGATTGTGGACTTTCTGAGATGTCAGCATATATAACTAGGACAGGGCTCGGCACTGAGTTGCATACACAGAGAGAAGTATATCAAGGATAATCTCTACCAGTAATTGTCTCACAGTCTATTATGAGTGACACCTTTTCTTTTTGGTCATCACTGGTCTCTAAAACATACACGAGACGGTAGCATGGTGATGCTCTTTAAGTCAATTCTAGCTAATAAGTTCTTATGAAGCACCATTAGTAAAATTCCTTAGAATCATATAAAATTAAAGTGGTTTTAATTAAGCCTTATTGCTATATATTGCTTTTTAAAATGGTTTTATTGATATATAGTTCACATAACATACACTTCCAGAGTTCAGTATTATTAAAAAGAGTTTTACAATCATCACCGCAATCAATTCCAGAACAGTTTCTTGCCTCTTGTATTTATTATTAACTCCCCATTTCCCTCCCGAGCCCTCCTGTCCCCATGCCCTCAATAAACCCTTAATCCAGTTACTGTCTCTATATTTGCTGTTATTTTTGTCAGAAACATTTAAAACAGTGGTTCTCAATCTGTTGGTCAGGACCCCTTTGGGGTTCAAATGACCCTTTCACAGGGGCTGCCCGATTCATAACAGTAGCAAAATTATAGTTATGAAGTAGCAATGAAAATAATTTTATGGTGCTCGCTTCAGCCGCACATATACTAAAAAAAGAAAAAAGAAAAAGAAAATAATTTTATGGTTGGCGGTGGGGGGTGGGGGTCAACACAACATGAGGAACTGTATTAAAGGGTCGCGGCTTGAGGAGGTTGAGAACCACTGATGTAAACACTTGTGTTTCTCTCCAGAAGAGTGAGTGTGGATCTCAATGCACAAAGATGAGCTATAGGTATTATCATTTCAGCTTTTTTATTTCCAATTTCACAGATTAAAAAAATGCTTGAATTATGTTTTGGAGTAGCGATTCTGGAAGCTTTGTGGATCATGCAGTGGACAGAAACACACCTAGTGGTTGTTCAGTAAGGGCGATGCAATGGGTGAAGTCAAGGTTTCGAAGTACAGCAGATGCGGTAGAGATGAGTCTGGGCACTAGAGCCAGTAATCAAGCAGGAGTCAGCCTCAGTTCTCCAGCTCGACCACATGCATGTGTGAGTGAAATACACACGGCTTGGGTAAATGCCTGCATCCTTATGCGCTAAGGCAGTCCAATAAAAATGGAGTGTGTTAGTGGGCCCTATAGTCTAACCTAGGCTCTGTCTCTGAGGGCTTTTCTCGCTTTCTTTTTTTGTTTGTTATGATTCAATTTTTAAGTTTTATTGGAATATAACTCACATATTATACAATGACTGTTCAATTGTATTAAGAAGCATTGTGCAATCATCCTAACACTCATTTTTAAAAGTTTTCTTCTCATACTCGTTGTTAG